CAGCTTCTCGACTTCCACAACAGTCCTTACACAAGCCCCTTCAGTCCAGCCGCTCCGTCAGAGACTTGATGACACGCGCGTAGAACTTCGCCGCCTGTGGCCGAGGGAATTCGATCTCTTCGACAAGGAAGTCAGGCAGCATGTCGATGAGTTCGCGATCTCTGTTGGAGTCCAGTTGTGGCTTGTACGTGAAATGAGCCTCTTCGTAATTTTCGCCAGAGCTTTCGTTCTCAACTTCAAGTTTGAAGTGAAGGGCTGCGGAGGTTAGTATGATGAGATGACTATTGGTAGAGACAATGACTTACTTCCGTTTCTCCCAGTTTGTATGCAATCAAAAACCTGACCTGCCGAGTCACGCTTGGTAACCCTGACAATCAAGCCTGTCAAATCGCCATAAAGGTCCTCTTTCAACTGTCCCGTTTGCACAACATCCGCGCTAGCGATGGCTCTGGCAGCTGCGCTTGAACCTTTGACGGCACTTCCGGGTATGACCTTGGCACTGGCCGCAGCTTCGGCAGACCTGCTCGCGGCTAAGCGCGTTGTCAGGGTCTTGATTTCCTGCTTTGCCTCGCTTAGGGAAGTCGTCAGAGCTGACACCTTTGCGTCCATTTCTTCCAGTTGCTTTTTGCGTTGCTGCCCTTCTTTGGCCAAGCTACGTTGCTCTGTAAGGTCAGCCTTGAGATGCGCAATGAGCTCGTTTGCAGCTTCATCCGATTAGTAACTTGTTGCCCCTACGCCTGGTCTTTGGTACTCACTTGTTGCTCTTTCTTCACTCTCCTTTTTGAGATTATCAAAGTTCCGTTCTGCTGCCTTAACCCCGATGTCCCGAAGATCGCGGTATCTCGCCTCCAGGTTATCGTACTTTCTAATTGCGTCGCCCAAGCGCCTCCTGATTTGCACATCACTAGCATCCAAGTCCGGATTGCCGCTCGTCCGATGACCGCGATGCGTTGACGGCTTTGGTACCGGTAGCTCATCGAATTGGTCATCGGCTTCCGTATCGACGTCCATATCATCTTGGGCCTGCGTCTCTGGAATTTCAGATTCATCACTTCGAGTGACCTTTGCTCCTGCACAACGCCCTCGCTTAGTCGATTTTGCGTTTTCCTTCATAGTAGAACTCGGTACTCTTTTCGATGTGTCTGTAGTCGTCGCTATCTTGGCTGCTGTCTTCGGTCGCCCTCTAGTCTTCGCTGTCGTCGTCGTCACCGCTGGGGCAGTGTCCTCTTCCGATTCGGCCATGCTGTCGACATTCGACGCATCATCGTCATCGTCCTCGTCCTCGATATCCTCCTCTTGGATCTCGATCTTCTCGGCAGCCTTGCGGCCTCGCTTCGAAATCTTGCCGCTTGCCTTGCTAGACGTGTCGTTGATGGCCTCTTCTCCAGCTTTGCTAATCGCTGCTGCAAGTTTTACAGCCGCGCGACCCTTTGTAGCCTTCTGGGCAGGCTTCGTGACTTTGTTGGCAGCTGGTGGTCTGCCCCTAGCCTTCTTCGCCGGCGACATTTTGATTGGGTTTGAGGTGATGATCTTGGCGCCGGAGACAGACGGTCGTCGGAGTTTGTGTTCGAGTTCGAAAGTGCAGTCCGCTGTATTCACACTGCGGCTTGGATTGGAGGCTACTGCGAGTTGGCGAGGTGTATAGGCAAAGCGCAAATGTCGACAGAGTAGCCAACGCGCTGGGGAGAAACGTTAGGTGTCGCGCAGGAGTCGTTCGCAATTAATCGGCGTGGAGAAAGTGCGCGTGCATCCAAAATACGGAATAACGCTTGTTATGCACTTAGACTGAGGTGATTGAGGTCAGACGGGTGGGTTGGTCTTAACGGCGGGTCAAAATACCAAGGTCGGAGCTGAGGGGCAGGCGAGCGAAGTTGGAAATACAATTTGCGATAAAAAAGTAAACAAAGCCGCGGTGCGACAGCGACCCCATACCCGGCGTTGGTACCTTAACTTTGGTGCCCCTACCTCAGCAACCTACCTAGGTGAGCAAGGCGGGCCGCGGTAAGGACATGCTTAGGTACCGTATCCCGGTACCTGGGTGGTGTACTTACCTATCGCCTTATCTAGGTAGTTAGGTACTACCTAAGGTAGGTAGGCGCACCACTGCCGCTTCGCATGTGGCGGTGCGCTCCCCTGCCGTGGACAGTGTGGCTTGAAGATTTTACTGGCCACCCTTCTGAACCGCGGGTGGCGTTGTCGGCTCGAATCAATTCTCTGGGGTGCTGGACACGTCTATCTCGTTGCCGGCTGTAATACTCCATCCCGTCACTTGGACACGCTCCTACCGAACCACCGGACGAATTTCTTTTCCCAGCGCGACAGGGAGAGGATTCCTTCCTGCTCACGAGCACTACGATACTTGCCGTAGAACCCATATCAACACACGTCAACAAACCACCGAGGATTCCCGAACTAGTCTGTGTCGATCGTACCGTGTCGGCCCTCTGCCGCAGCGCCAACACTGATGACGGGCGACCTCGACCGTTGGCTGGGTTCCGTCGGAAAGCTTCTTGGTATGGGTGATCGAAAGAAGGGCCTGGGCGATTTTGCCCTCGACTTACTCTTGGTTGCTGGTATGGTGGGTAGACAAGATCATCAAGGGCACATGTCAAAAACTGAATCATAACCGCGCTCCAGATGGCAACCGGCGTTTACCTTGCAAGAAATTTCCTTTCTTCCCTCACGAATACCCTCGCCGACCCCGATCGAGAGAAACACGAGCAAGCCCGGCTACAGGCCAAGGCTCATCTAGAGCGCTTGCGCAAAGGCAAGAATTCGGGGAAACCTGGCGAAGAACCATCAGATGACAGCAGCGTTTCTCGTCGCGGGCCTAAGCCGGAAGAGTTGGTGTTGAATGAATATGAGAACCTCATTGCGCTTGAGATGGTGGCTCCAGAGGATATACCAATCGGCTTCGCTGGTAAGTGCCCTGCCGAAAAGACGGACGAACCAGCAACAGGAACTTTGCTAATGGCGTTTAATAGATATTGGTGGCTTGGAGGACATCATTGATGAACTCAAGGAATCCGTCATCTACCCGTTGACTATGCCGCACTTGTATTCCCACGCGGCGCCGCTGCTATCTGCACCCTCTGGCGTGCTACTCTATGGCCCTCCAGGGTGCGGTAAAACTATGCTGGCCAAGGCAGTCGCTCACGAGAGTGGTGCTTCCTTCATCAACCTCCATATTTCGACAGTGACAGAAAAGTGGTATGGTGATTCAAACAAGCTGGTGCGAGCTGTTTTCTCGTTGGCTCGCAAGATGCAGCCCGCCATCATCTTCATTGATGAGATCGATGCGGTCTTGGGCACAAGAAGGAGCGGCGAGCATGAGGCCAGCGGAATGGTCAAGGCTGAGTGAGTTTTGACACTCGAATTTCCCATAGTACTCTGTCACTGACAATTTAGGTTCATGACCCTATGGGACGGACTGACGTCGTCAAATTCTTCAGGCATGCCAGCGAGGATCGTTGTTCTCGGTGCCACGAACAGGATACATGATATTGATGAGGCTATTCTTAGGCGAATGCCCAAAAAATTCCCGGTGTCTCTTCCTGGCAAGGAGCAGCGACAACGGATCTTGCAGCTCATTCTCAAGGACACAAAAACAGACCCTGAGTTTAGTGTGGAGTACATCACCAAAGTCACAGCTGGCATGTCGGGCAGCGACATCAAAGAAGCATGCCGTGATGCTGCTATGGCACCGGTCCGTGAATACATGCGAGAGCATCGGGCAAGCGGAAACTCCATGTCGAGCATCACACCAGAGAACTTCAGAGGTATCCGGACAGAGGACTTCTTTGGCCGCAAGGGTGGAGGTCAAATTCTGATGGAGAACCATGCGAAACATTCCAAGGCGTCGAGATCATCGGCAGATGAGTACGAAGATATTGTCGAAGAACTGGGTTGAATTGGCCAGGTACTTGGCTTGTATGAAAGGGAATGAAGGACGCGACAGAGGTCTACTTTAAAACGGTTGTGCTCTTTTACTAGATATGTCGGGGACATCCATACAATAAGATTGCCTGCGGTGGGCAATCCGCGCATTTCATGCTAAAATGAGACGTTTGTACAAATAAATGTACCGATACAGGGAGGAAACGGATGCCGAAATACCATCATTTTACGCCCGAGGTTCCCTCCTCTGTACACCAAGGCTGCAACGACGTCTGATTCAAATCGTCTATTACCTCAGTATTGTTGAGAAGACGCCATAGCCCTAAGGTGACAACTAGGCCAGGTACACAGGCACGCGGCACCAGAGCAAAGTCAGGTACAGACGGTAGTCAGATGTGTCAAGCATGATGCGCCGACCTTGATTGTTGCCATCCAGGAGCGCCAGGGCAGCCGCCAGTGTGCCAATCCAACGCTGCGCCTTTTCCCCGGCCGACATTCCGCTCGGACCACTACCGTGTCCCCCCCCCCCCCCCGCCGTTTCCAGGGTTCATGCCGCCCCGCCATCGCCGACTTTCGGGGCACGCTGCGCACACCGACAAATCACGTCATCAGTAAGGGCCCACACCTTTGGTTGTCCAGTGCCGTTGGAGTCACACGCTCCGTCCCCCAAAAGCCCGCCGTCGGCCCTCACTTAACGTCCCTGTAAAACTTCTCCTGTACACACCTGCAAGCTCCTATCAGCTCTCTCAACCTTTTCGTCAATTACCTCTGCTTTTCAATCGAGTACGCCGGTGCTGCGTTTGGACAATTGACTTGCTGAGCAATTCAGTCTGTCCGCGGCGACAAGTCTGGCTCTTGAAGGAGACCAGCGGTAGTACTGTACTCGATCCCGAACGCCTCCCGGACCTTCCTATCCGTCCTTCGTCCTCACGTCCCTCTCGAACATCAAGTGCGACGACATTCAGGCATCATCTGGCCAAGATCCATTCGTCGAATCGATCAACCCGAGAAAAACTCGTTCAATTGCCGCTGTCAACCAGATAAGCCGGCAGCTCTTTGATACTAGTGCTACCCCGCCATTATTACCCACGCTTTGTCTCACCATGTCTACACCGCCTAACAACGGAACGGCTTCCAAGTCTAGCGATCCCCTCAAGCGGGTGGACCTTGACGGACACGATCTGCCTCCTTCTCCCGCGCCGTCTAGCCCTCGCAACGGTCGTCGTCGCTATGCTCTCGCCACGGAGCTGGTCTACACTGACAGCAACGACCAGTATGGCGCGTCCAGCATCCCCATCTACCAGTCCGCCACCTTCAAGCAGACCAGTGCCACTGGCGGTGGGGAGTACGACTACACCAGGTCCGGCAACCCGACTCGCACTCACCTTGAGCGCCACCTGGCCAAGATCATGAATGCCACGAGGGCTTTGGCTGTCGGCTCCGGCATGGGTGCCTTGGATGTTATCTCCCGCTTGTTGCGCCCCGGCGATGAGGTGATCACCGGCGATGACTTGTACGGAGGCACCAACCGCCTTCTCACGTACTTGGCTTCTAACCAGGGTATTGTCGTTCACCATGTCGACACTACCAATGTGGAGAACATTCGTCCTGTCATCTCTGAAAAAACGGCCATGGTCCTGCTGGAGACGCCGACGAACCCTCTCATCAAGGTCGTTGACATCCCCTCCATTGCTAAGCTTGTTCACGAGGCCAACGACAAGGCTTTGGTTGTCGTGGACAACACCATGCTCTCGCCCATGCTCCTGAACCCACTGGACATTGGTGCAGACATCGTCTACGAGTCCGGAACAAAGTACTTGTCCGGACACCACGACATCATGGCTGGCGTAATTGGTGTAAACGATACCGAGATTGGCAACAAGCTGTACTTCACCATCAACTCCACTGGATGTGGTCTGTCGCCCAATGACTCTTTCTTGCTTATGAGAGGCATCAAGACACTCGCCATCCGCATGGAGAAGCAGCAGGCCAACGCTCAGCGGATTGCCGAGTTCCTCGAGTCTCATGGTTTCAAGGTTCGATACCCGGGACTCAAGTCGCACCCCCAGTACGACCTGCACTGGTCTATGGCACGAGGTGCGGGTGCCGTTTTGTCGTTCGAGACCGGCGACGCGGCACTTTCGGAAAGAATTGTCGAAGCCGCTAAGCTGTATAGTATCAGCGTCAGCTTCGGCTGTGTCAACAGTCTGATTAGCATGCCCTGCCAGATGAGCCACGCCAGCATCGACGCCAAGACCCGGAAGGAGAGGCAGATGCCGGAAGACCTCATCCGCTTGTGCGTGGGCATTGAGGACGCTACGGACTTGATTGAAGACCTCTCGCGAGCTGTAAGTGCCGTCAACTAACCCCCCCCCCCCTTGAGACATACATACTGACTTTTCTCGTAGCTTGTTCAGGCCGGCGCGGTCAATGTGACCCTGGACGGATTCCACGCGACCGAGGCTGTCCAGCAGGCTTGAAGGATCTTTCGTGGAGGCGGGAACTCGACTCCCCAAGCCTGAGGTGATTGGGTCTAAGGGGAGTCAACCGCACGCGTAGTGAGTGAGTGGAAGAAAATCCACTTTCGAAATACAACGGCGTTTGGGCTCAGTACGCTCGATATGCGTTGGAAAATCAAAAAAGAAAAGGGGGCCAACGAAAAGTGTGAATAGCTTAGAGAATTCGACTACATTGTGTCGTCCTAATCTACCCAAGAATAGGATCGTTCCTTTGTTGCACCTTGACATCCCGCAAATTTTGACAGCAAATGCGTCCAGTTGACCAGATGGGGCATCATGTGCTCTCACTCCGTTCCATGTGTCGACAGCATTTTACGATCGGAGCATGAATAAACTATGGGGATAATACAATGCCATTCAACTAACTCTTCACTATTGCCTCCTAAACTATGCTTCCCAAAAACGATCCGCTCTGTCAAGGCTGAGAAACCATACAATGCTATTTATACAAATATCTAGGAAAAGTCGAAGCGGTCCGGGAGGACGACTGGAGCCACCAACGTCCAAGCATACATGGCGTAGCAGACCCAAGCGCTCACAATCTTCACCCAACTGGCCCAGTACGATCGGCCGACAGGAGCGAAGTTGCCATCGGCATTTTGGTCGTCGTAGCTCTGGGTCAACAACGTCGCGATCCATGCCGTGGCCAAGAAGAAGATGATGTGGAAAACGGTGTAGCTGTACTGCGTCTGTGAGCGCTCATCGTCACCGTGGACGCGACTGCCGCCAGCCTCGCTCTCATCGTCGGATAAGAGGGCGTCCGCCGGCAAGCTTCCCTCCTCGACGGCACGACGCAATGCCTCCGCCCGCATTTGTTTTTGAGCGCTGGGTTGGTGAGTGACGAGATCGTGCTCATCTTCCTCAGGTAGACGGATGCCGCCGGAAGAACCAAGTCCAAGGCTCTGAGTCGCCGCCCGTGTCGTAGTGTATGCAATGGTGAGCATGGTCACGACGGCGCCAATAACAACCGATGTGGTGCGGGTTCCCTGAGCGCGAATCAAAGGGTTGCACTGTTTATCATCGGGCTCCATCGAAACAGCGGACATGGTGAGGTAGGTGCAGTATACGGCAACCATGGCACCCTGGGCGAGACCGGCCTTGGGGTTGTATTCCTGGATGGTGGGATGGACTGAGATGAAAGAGATCCCAATCCACAGCAGGAGGTTGATCGTAATTGCCGCTTGGTTCATGGAGCAACCGGATCCGGCGAAGAAGATGTACTGGACGATGGTCATAGCGAGGGAAGCAAGATACATGCCCAACGTGGAGCCGATGAGAACTGTCCGCCAAACCTTGGAGTCGGTTTCCTCGATCTGCTCGAGACAATACTCGGCCCAGTTATGGGCGAGATCAACAAGCAAGATAAGGCCGAGGATCAGGAACAACATGCCACCAAACCGGGCAATGTAGGCGCCGTAGAACTGGAAGAACTCGTCGGGAATCAGGAAGGAGAGAACAATGAAGGCGAGCCACACGATGACTTTGGGCCCCCAGTAGCCATTTTGAATAGCGGCGCGAGGGTTCTTGGAAGATGTCACGCCGAACAGAAGCCCGGCGAGGATAAGGTGGAAGAGACCGAGAGCGAAGTTGAAGCGGTGGACGGCCATCCACCCGTAGCATTGGCCGTTGGGACAGTCAATCTTGACGTAGTCGAGCATAAGGTGTTCCAGCTTTTTAATAGCCCACGGGGTGAGCATGATCCAGGACAGGATCGAGTTAACGAGGAGCATGACTGCGTAGCCGATACGGGTGGCGACACTACAATGGAAGTCAGTACCGAGAGTGGTGTGTTCACGGGCTGGGTGAAGAATTACCTGTTGCCGCACTTCCCACAGGCGCTGCAGACTGCAGAGCAAGTTGCCGCACCGCAGCAACTGGCAGCGAAGCCGATGAGCTGTCAGGCGTTAGCTTGTGATGTGAAGACAGGCTCTACAAGCCGTAGAGTAAGGAATCGGAGGGGATTCGTCGTACCGTGCCCATGCTCGGCACCGCCATCAGCGGCAAGGAAAGCAAAGCACCCATGGCGCCGGTTTCCTTCTATATGTACAATCAATCAAAAAGGTGTGAATGTCGGTTCGGCGAGGTCGCGTTGGAAAGATGGAGGAGGAGTCGCGTTGGTGATGTCTTTGCGAGATGCCTTGCGTCGGCGCGGCGCAGTATGGATCAGGTAGAGAGGTACCTTGAAGGCCGGACTTAGGTGACGAGCCACAGATGGTGGGTCCCTCTGGTGGAGGCTGGGGCACACGTGAGATTACGTAGTCCCTACTGTGGCTCCCCACCCGGATCCGAGCCCCGGATTCCAGAACTCTCCGCCGAAGTCGGCCATCCACTATCGGCAATTCTGCACCGATTCCCGACATCTTTCGCCTACCTTACTTGGCACCGAGTGAAGTGAAGCTACTTACACCTGCCTTTCCTGCTCAACCTCAGTTACCTTATCGCGCCGATCCCGACGCGGGCATTTGAGAAGGCGCTGGCTAGCGCTACCCTATCATCCATTGTTCGTTCTCCAACCAGCCTTAAACGCAAGCTTCTTGTTTGAAAACCAGCTCGCCCATCGTCTCAATCCATGATTTTCTGCTTCAACCAGAAACTATCTCGTCTTACCAGTACACTTGCGTACCTAGATTCTACCTTTGATTCGCGATCCGGGAAATTCCTCAGACTGAACCGCTTATCACATTCACCCGAGTGTACCATGGTCAATGGAATGGAGACAAGACTCCCAAACAGAATGGAGGCAATCCTGTGATATTGCAGATAGCCTGTCGTGAGGGAGCGGAGTTGCTTAGTTCGACGTGGTCGTGCTGTATTGCGTGCGGCAATCTCCATCGGTGGAATCCACACTTGGAGTCTGATTCGTTGTATATGGTGCAAGTCAGTGTTGCGCAAAACGGACATCTATCTTGTCCCACTCATGCACTTCAAGAGTCCTGCGTGAAATACCCCTCGTTGTTCTTGACTTTGAGAATCTCGACAATCAAAATGGCAACTAGACTCTTTAGTCACTTGCTGATTTCGAACCGACCTCGTGGATTTACCCGCAGTGGCTTCCACTGCTGCAGGTCTCAGACTGGTGGAAGGCGAAATTATACTCACGAGAACTGTATTGTCTATTAGCGTAGCGTCTATGATGTCTTATAAAGGGATCAAGTGACTGAGCGTTCCCCATATGTCGCGCGAACTATTCCAGCGCCGAGCAAGATTAGCCGACTATGTTCGGCTGACTTATACGAAGTTGGCGACATTCACACACAACCCATTGAGACATTCAGCCCGACTGACCAGGCACACACATACCGGTAGGTGATATATTTGTTAATTCAAGTGAGCAGGCATGATGAAGGGCGACGGCGCATGGGTTTCCATATTCCAGCCGTGCAGTTGACACATGCACGCGCCACCACCCTTCCCTGCCGAGTCTGAAAGGAAGTTAAGGAAACAGAAACGCGGCGCACTCCAGCGATAGGCCAAGGTGCCGAGGAGGACATAAGTACCGGGTACGAGACCCTTTACGTAGCCAATATGTAATACGCACAGCGTCATTGGTACTCGTTACGTAGTGTATTTGTCCTTTCGGCAGGGCACTTACGGCATCTTACGGCATCGTAGCTTAGCTTTCAGGGGGATCCCCCAGGGCTCCAAATCCCTACCTTATTTCCCATTACCTTCCCAGTTGAAGTGCATGCGCGGCCCCAAAAGAATGGATTCGTGATTCCCGCCCGTAGATAAGGGATCCGATCCGGCATCGTTCCCGTTTCGTTTTCCGACTCAACGAAGCTTCCCGCTGCCCCTCGACAACCTCCATCTTTCCTCTTTCCCCTACTTCACTCTGCCTCCTTCCTACCATTCCGGTCTCTGTAGTCTTTAGACGACGCTCAAGTCTTCATGTCGCACGATAGTACACTAAAACACCAAAACACTTACCATAACCCCGACCGTCGCAAACAGCACCCCCCCCCCCCTCTCTCTCTCCGACACTTGGCCTTCATCGGTGCCGATAATCGCTGCCGTCCCTCGCTGACGAGCAATTCTCCTTCCGCCGCCAACCGGCCAAAGCATGATATCTTGAGATCAACATTTCATCGTCGCCCAGTCTACAGAAGCAATGTCAGGTCCACGGGAGAAAGAGCTGCACCGCGCGCGGCTGGTTGCCAGCGTCGCAGCCACGGTCATTTCTCTAGCATGCGGTACCAACGTGAGTTGGCGCGATCGGAACACATCCCTGCCAGACCTACGGTCACTTTCAATGTGAATCATGAGCTGATATGTCTTTGCTTTACAGTACGTTTACTCGGCATGGTCCCCTCAGTTTGCCGAGCGATTGAAGCTCTCCTCGACCGAAACGAACCTCATTGGCCTTTCCGCCAACCTGGGAATGTACTCTTTGGGAGTTCCTGTCGGCATGCTCGTTGATCACAAAGGACCTCGCTCCGCCGTCATCATTGGCTCCGTCCTGCTCGCCCTCGGATACTTCCCGTTCCACATCGCCTACGATCGCGCGGCTGGTCCCGTGCCGCTTCTCTGCTTCTTTTCATACTTGTCCGGCCTCGGCGGGTGTTTGGCTTTCGCCGCGTCTGTCAAGACGTCTGCTCTCAATTGGCCTCATCATAGGGGGACTGCTACCGCTTTCCCCCTAGCTGCTTTTGGTCTGAGTGCCTTCTTCTTTTCGACGTTTGGGAGTCTCTTCTTCCCCGGAAACACCAGCGCTTTCTTGGCCTTACTGTCCATCGGCACTTGCGGTTTAACCTTTTTCGGTTTCTTCTTCCTACGCGTCTATCCTCATGCCACCTATCACAGTCTGCCAGCAAGCGATGGTCTTTCCGGTTCGCAGCAGCTTCGACGAACTTCGTCAGAAGAGGCCAAACCCAACCGACCCGGCTATGGGCACCGCAGCGCTCCGGTTGAACCTGGTACGTCGCCCAAACTTAACAATACCACTACCACAATCAACTCCACCGCCGACCACGAGCCGGTTCATCCCGAGTACGAATCGTCCGCGCCGTCTCGCGAGGCTGATGAGGCGCAAATCGAAGCCGTCGAAGCCGATGATTATGAGCCCGACGAGACGTCCTCGCTGGTGTCGAGCTCCTCTTCTATGCCTGGTGATGTCTTTGTGCAGAGCAGTGTTGATCTGGATCGTTCTCATCGAGTAGATATTCGTGGCTGGGCTCTTTTACGTGAAATCGATTTTTGGCAATTCTTCCTCATCATGGGCATTCTTACCGGTATCGGTTTGATGACAATCAAGTGAGTATCAGTATCTGGCTAGCCTAGAGTATTCTTTGTCATTAACAAAATCGCCAGCAACATTGGAAACGACGTAAAGGCCCTTTGGCGTCACTATGACGAGTCCGTGGATGAGGCCTACCTCATCACGAAGCAGCAGATGCACGTGTCCATTCTATCGATTGGCAGCTTCGCAGGCAGACTCCTAAGCGGTATGTTGACACTAGATTATCACTCATCCAAAGAGCTGACTCAGACTATGAAAGGTGTTGGCTCCGACTTCATCGTAAAGGTCCTTCACGGCAGTCGGGTGTGGTGCCTTGTGGCATCCAGTGCCGTGTTCTTCGTGGCGCAGCTCATGGCTCTCCACGTCACGAATCCTCACCTGCTCGGACTGGTCTCGGGCCTGTCTGGCATCGCGTACGGTTTCCTCTTCGGAGTCTTCCCTTCCATCGTGGCCGAAACCTTTGGTATTCACGGCCTGAGCCAGAACTGGGGGCTGATGACGCTCTCGCCCGTTGTGTCTGGTAACGTATTCAATATTTTCTACGGCAGAATCTACGACAGGCACAGCGTCGTGGGCCCGGATGGCGAGCGCGTCTGCCACGACGGGCTGGACTGCTATCGTGCAGCGTATCTGATGACACTGGGTGCGTGCTCAATTGGATTAGTGCTCACTCTGTGGGTCATTCGTCACCAGCGAGTGAAGTGGGCAAAAGAGGAGAAGATGAAGGCGGAGCAGGATGACTGAGATACTTTGCTCAAGGTGAATCCAAAAGTGTGGGTGGGGGATGAAAGAAGTCCAAAACTGTCCCTCACTATTCTTGACACAAAGTCGTCTCTGCGAACACGGCTGGCTGTCATGTCTTCAACATAGATTTAACGTCAACGGCCGTAGATAACTCATAGAGGCAAGGCGTTTTAGGTATCCAATTTTTTCTGATTCACGAGTATCGACACTCGCTACCACAGCGGAGATCAATGGGAAATTGTAATTCATTTTTATCCCTATCGTATACACAACTTCATTCACGGGACCAAGCAGTATGGGATCGGTGAAACTCCGTATTCAGTATTGAGAGCTTCCATCATTGCTGGTGAGCGCCATACCATAGTCGCCTTTTGCGACGAACGCCTCATCCGGACTCCTTTCTGTCGAGAGAGGAGCCCCTTACTGGGCACTACCTCTCTACACGGGGAAACCCAAGAGAACTTCATCCACCAACGTATTAAATACGAGACACGGTGTCCCAACGTCAAACTAACAAAAAAAATTCCGCGTCGCGACATTACACAATGTCGTTTGAAGCGGAGCATCACCCCGTCCCCTATCTAGGGATTATTGTCCCACCTCATCGAATCGCCCTTTCGGCGGACGCTGGTTGCAACGCAACGGTGTCCGGGCCGACATTAGGTAGAGGAAGAAAAGCCAAGGATACCTCCCGACACCTCATAGCCCGGTCCTTTGGAATAAAATATGTTCATCTCGACTCCTCTAACCAAAAACGTGTGAATCGTACTAAACTCCCAGCCGATGCAAGATGCAGATGGACCAACAGTGATAAAAACACGGAATATTGTAGCGACACCATTGTCACGCAAGACTGGTATCAGCGTACTACCGAGACAGTGTCTGTCAAGCTCTAGATGGGAATATCCGAGACCATCTATTATGAAGAAAAAAGAAGACTCCTGTATGAGCTGAACGTCGTCCGCCGACGAGCCAACTTAGACTGTAGTATGTACAGCGCGGAGCGATTAAAGCGAATGGGTGTTACTCTTCTCGCAGGCCGAGTTCTTGAACAGAACCAACGCGAACAATGATATTCCACCAAGTGAAGAAATTCGAGTGCCAGTCTCGTCCTCATGGAGTTTTGCCACGTTTACGGTCTTCTTGATGACCGTCGAATATTGAACTAAACCCAGCGAGCGGCCAATTGTCTGTAGTCGAATGAACAACAACCAGCCAGGCAGCTATCAAATTGACGAGGTAGTGCAGCATGTAGGCGTAGGAAATGCCATAAACAGCAGCGTAGATGGCTGTGCCAAAGAGTAACACGCTTGTGAGATATCTCATCCTGCCCGTGACTCTAGGAACCATCCTACCGGTGGTTAAGTTCTCCACGAGCAATATGAACGGCATAATTGATAGCACGTTATGGTGCGAAGAGAAAGGCGTGAGCCAGTGGACGGCAAGGTTGCGAATCCACACTGCCAGAATGGGAAGGTTGATAGGAAGAACCCAGAGCATGAGAAGCAGAATGGAGTGGGCGTAGTGGTAAAAATCTTGGGTAAGTCCAGATTTGACTTCTGAGGCGATCCGATGAGCACGGACGACAGTAAACAGCTGAACGAGACACGCTACCAAGTACGCAAATTGATAGGGTATAAACGTGGATACCAGGAATAGCAGGACGGCAGTTGTTATCATACGGCGTCGAGGAGAGGACGCAACGAAGATGGGTAACTGCGGCCTTCGGCGCTCGTCACGCCCGGTTGCGAATGGTCGGAGAGCTATCCAAGCGTAGAGAATGCCGAGAATCTGAGTCAACGCCAGAGTGACAAAGTGAAGACAGGCGCACACCCCTACACAGACGACTCCGATCAGGGGGATCAGAAACCAGAAGAAGGGATCCTGGGTGCCTGTAAGGAGATCGTTGCTGTGAAAGTCGGCTTCCGCCGAAGTCGTATTGCGCCAGTGCCAGAATACACCGGGGCCGGATGACCACGATCCGGTCATTGACAAGGAGAGGAATGTCAAGGAAAGAAACATCAGCGGCAGCGACTGCCGTAAGCAGAGATCCAAGCTTTCCGAGAAAGATATGAAGGCTCCAGTCGTGTCGTAGATCCGGAACTGCTTGCGAAGCACGAGTGCCACCACAAGCAATGGGAAGGCCGCAAATACAGTCCGATAACGCATGTACAGCTTACCCAAGCTCCCCAACGGGTCGACTGTCAGCGTAACTTGGATTGCTGATTCGCAGGTTGGATCGGTCCAAAATTGCAGGCTGAGTCCCTGCTCGTTTTGAAGCTTGTGCCTAAGAGGGGGCGGAACGAACGGGGCCACGCCATGCAGACTGATGCTCGCATGCCTGGCATTTACGAAAAACTTGGACTCGTATGGCTGAGCTAGGTGTTGCCGTATGAGAGGTGAGAACAGTCCAGAAGATGAACCGCAAGCCTGATTGCCTATCTCCAGATTGTACGCCAGTAAACTGGACTGAATGGTGGGGATATTGATCTCGGCAACCAAGGGACGGTTCGCAGGTAGCCGCAGCGTCATTCCAAACGCGAGGATTCGCCGCAGGCTGATGTTTCGCCTTCTGTGTGATTGAGAATGGTCGCTGAATTCGGCGACAACAAAGTTTTGACTTGGCTTCACCGCCTTGTCTATGACGGCCACGAATTGGTGGTCCGCAATGTCCTCGATATCGAACTGAAGATACGAGAACGGCCTTGTCACTGGCTCATTCTCCAAGGCAAAGGGCTGATGGAGCATTCTAGTTGAAGGGGGGAGCAGAATAGCGTCGGTCGCAGCATTCTTGCAGGCCAACCTAGTAGACCCAGTGCTGTCGCCTGATAGGTCCATGTGTGTTGAGAACAGCGTTGTCGACTGTCCAGGCTGCAGGGGGGAAACGCTGCAAAGCAGGACCTCGAGCTTTCCATGTTCTCCTGGCTTGTCCAATGCGCTGTCGGTCAGTAGGGTGAAGCGTTTTCCTTCTGGAGATCCTTGGGGAGGTACTGGAAGCAGGTGAGCTGTGAATTTCGGGTCGTGGCCAAGCTGTCGCAAGACGAGGCGTTCGCCTTGTGCCTTGATGGCGTTTGAGTTGTCCTCGAGTGTCAGCAATGTGCTTGGCCCCTCAGCTGCCATAGTCTGCTCGGCGATCGACTCCATGCCAGTGAGGAAGTACTTCTTGAAAACCCGCATTCTCTCAGCCCTGGGCTTGGTCTGCGAAGACCTGTGAACATCCACCACGTCGTACATGGCGCGAGCAACAACTTTCCGAAATTGGTCGCACCATAGAATGGCCTGGTGATCCATACTAGTCCAAACACCTGGAATTCCGGTGGTGAAGACAGTGAAGCCGTGTGTCTCGGGGATTATCGGCTCGATGCTTGCGTAGTCGGACGGAACGACAGTGTCTAAGCCACCTCCAGCGATTGAGACAAGAGTAACATGCCACAACGGGTTGTTGTTGGCCCATTTCTGTGAGTAGGCGTGACGCCAGTAGTCATTGATATCATCGTATATCTTGACAATCTGTCCGTCGAAAGTAACAGGAGGACGCGAGTGTGGTGCAGACATGGTAATAATGGTGTTGATCGAGTTGGACTGGTAGTTCGGCATGATGAGCATGGTGCGCGCGACGATGCCACCCATCGAATGACCGAGTACCAGGACAGAGGTTGGATCTGGTAAGTCCTGGTCTCGAGCTGACATGCGCGGGTCCATGTAGAGCGACAAGATGTACCTGATGGCTTCGTTCAAGTACTCGGCCTGGTCCAACATGGTCTGCCCGTGGAAGGCAGTGATGTCCTCGTTGAAGTCAACTGTGAAGAAGTCGAGATTCCTAGCGCCGGCCGCGACAGCAGTTTCATCGTGTTGAAGAGACTCATGGTAGTAGTTTGCAGCTTCAGCGGCTATGGGTCGAACTTGTTTGTAGCTTCCGGCATTACCTGGGATAAAGAGTACGGGAACGCCTCTCAGCTGTGAAGTGTCAGCGATCTGCCATAGCCCCGGCGCAAGACGCAAGACGTACCTTTCTTTCGTCGTCAACACCCTGCTCACGATACAGATATAGCGAGTATTTGGTCGCGAACCGGGTGTGTTCGGTATCGAAGTCACGAAGACGAATGTAGGAAGGTCGCATGTACGACATGCGGCATCCCTTGGCATCGAGCTGGCGAGTCCATGACGAGTTCAATATAGCGCATAGCAGAGTAATCCCAAGAACGGTGACAGTCAGCGTGAAGATGGTAACGGACCAAGGGCTTCGGAATCGAGAGCGGCGACCGGCGAAGCGCACATCGGGCATCTTCTCTGCGGTCATGGTGGTTTGGTCTTCTCGCCGAGTGTCCACGATGCCGTCGTGGAGGCCGTCGCCGTCGCCTTCACCGTCGTCGTGATCGCTATCGAAATACTTGTCGTCGTTCAGGGTAGGCTGAAATTCGTCGGCGACGCTTTGAGAATGGTGGTGGAGTTTGTGGTTCGGCAGCTGTGTATGGTTTCGGTAGGCTGGCGATGGCGCGGCCAGGGATGGAACTGAGAGGGGTGACGATGGCAAAGCAGTTATGAGGTGGTTGTCGACAATCGGATTCGCGTTCGGGCCATGTTCGAGCTTCCAATTGGGGTTGTTTGACCGTCTACTCCTTGCGGATGACGGCCTAGATGCGGCTCCAGCGGCAACGGTAACGGCCGCGGGTTGCTTGGGAAGAGGTGCAGAATTGCGACTTCGGGCGGGTTGCTGAACGACTGGAGGATCGACAAGAGGTTCGTCGCTGTCGTCGGTCGAACCCGACGAGCGCCTCTTCATGGGTGGAGAGGGCTCGATCGAGTCTTCCAAGAAAGGAAGCGTGTCGTTCAATCGAGCCGTAGGGGAACCTGTTGTTTTCCTGGCCAGGTGAGAGAAGGCGGCGAGGCGGAGGAAAACGAAAGTGTGGACGACAGCGACGTCTCGAGGAAGAGAGACGTGCAGAAGGCTGTGGTGGCAGCAGGACGAGACGACGGGAAAGGACTTGTCCTGGAAAGAACGTGCCCTCGACCTGCCTTTCCTTGGGCGCGAACTGCTATTGTCGGGTCCGGTTCTCTGCTACCTACCACCTTAGTGAGTGCTAGAGGTACTTAGGGGTACTGGAATTTGGAAGGTTCCTCCACTGTCGGTGCGTCTGTCACTGAGGTGCCGCTGGGGTGCTGCTGCTACAACGGTGGTCCCGACCCACGGAATCGAGTCGAGTCCCGCGTCCGTCTCCCGTTCCGTCACCACTGACCTATCAGACAATGGAAGGAGAGATAAGATACCCACGACAAGGACATGTGCCGAAGTACCACCTTTCCTCATTTCCAAATAGGTACCTGAAGGTGAGATACGGAGTATTGTAGGCAATACATATATCCTGGAGGTAGCTATCGTAGGAGGAACTCGGTGAAGAACTTTCAAAGCTTCCGAATGGACGAGTCTCATGCTACCTTAGGTATAGATACGTGCACATCGATGTGTGCAGCCAGGACTGGAGGACAATTGTTACCCAGACAGCACGGTATCTTGATTACTTGTGAAGTATGCAGCCAAGCTACCTTCTCGAGAATAGAAAGATAAGGGTGACCGGAGTTGGTGAGACTGCTGCAAGATCACTACCTAATTGTCTTGCAGCTGATGATGCACGCCAGCCTCAATTCATGGCACGTCCGCGTGGAGCGCTGTTCTTCCCGTTGCCTACGTACATATTCGTAGGTACCTCAAGTTTTTGAGGGTCGCTCCCCACGTGCCCTTGCCATAGGTACCTCCCAATACATACACATTTGTGTGATACTCCATGTAGCATTTGGTCCTTTTTCAAAGCCCCTATGGCTCATCTCGCGCCTCGTCCGTCCAGCGCAACGTGGAATTGGACGATCCACATGCAATTGGGTTTTCAATGTCTCAGCCCCGTCGCCTCCTTTCTCTGCTCTTTTGTGAGCCCCTTCTACTTCGTACAAGACGCTGACTGGTACTGGAGTATAACGTATAGTGTACAGCAAGTAGTACCCAAGGTAGACACATGGCGTGAAACCTACTGCGACTCAACTTTTTCTTGGCCGGTATGTTCAAACATCCAAAGGAATTCCATATGAAAACGTAGCAGAGGCGGAAGCCATGGCTGAGAAAGGCTAAGAAACGCTGCAGAACAAGCAATAAAATGGCTCTCGCGGCAAGCTGCGTGGTCCTCGATGCCCGAAGCGCCCGGCTCGACTCATGTTGTGCTTCAATAGCGTCTAATTGCTGCGACCAGATTCGCCGGGCCAGCAGATAGAACTGGTTAGGTACTCCCGCCTACCCTGCCAGCCTACCAGCCTGCTTCACCTTAGCTTACCTTGAGCCTGGATTTGAAGATTGTCTGATGAGGAAAACTAACATTCCATCATCTCTGCAGCTCGCTCACCTCAGAAACCAACGTTGGCTTCCCGGGCTTCGGCACGCTAATCTTCTAAGTTTTATTCCCAGCCTCCCGTCTTTCCCGTCTTCCTGCCATTCTTCGGCTTCTCTCCCCCGTATCACAAGTACTTCCAAAGAAGGTCTTCCTTCCTCTTCACTGTCCCCCTCCTTGGCCCGATTTCTCGAGTTAGCCGGGCATCCCTGACCTCCCACGGTTTCTTCGATGTGACGTGAAACGTTTTCATGTTGTTTCTCCAGCGAGTACAAACAAGATATCTGGTCTGGTTGGTTCAAATTTCTTCCCTACAGGCTACCAGTATGTATTAGGTAGCACCCCGCACAAACCTAACTGCTACAAACATTTTCAACTCTGAGCTTGCCCATCGTTCACGTCTCGCGTTGGCTCATGCTGCGTCACCGTTGGCTACCTCTCGGGATCTAAGTACGAAGTACGCGGTGCTGCTGGGGTTTCCCCGACGTTGCCGATACCGACTGCTTAATATCCGTACCCGGAAGCGAATACTCCCTCGACGGATGACAGAAATCGAGATGCTCAATCTCCCCAACAACCTCCATCCCAGTGATCTAAATTGAAGCACTAGTGCATGCGTTCTGCAGCTTACCATGCTGCGCTGCTACGCATGGTGGCACACAGTCTGCTTCGGTCGAATTGATCTTACTAACACCGAAGTTGTCAGCAATTAACGACTTTCCTTCAAAGCAATGCAATCGAGCTCCTTGTTGCCAAGCTTTGCCGAAAGAAGAAAGGAAAAAAGGCCCACACAGTTGTTCGGACCTATTGAAATGTTGAGGCTTCGCCTTCTTAACCCGCAACAGCTACAGAACTTGGCAAAAAAGGGGATCGACACAGATGCTCTCGTCCTATCCACACCCAGGTCGATGCCAACCTCTGAAGCATTGCCATAGCCTCTAAGCGTGGGGTGTGGTGAAATTCAATGTTGCAGTGCAGTGAGTTGAGGTGGGCCAATGAAACAATTGCATTATGCTGCAGCGTCAATGTGCAATGCTACCCGTTCCAATTCTCCGAGATATCGGCCTCTGGTGAACACAATTTTTAAAGATGATTATTCGGACTCCTGAGGGACGTCACGAACGCGAACAATGACACGTGCCAAAACAAGGTTTTCCCCATCGGAAGCACGTCCAAGTCCATCTGTGTTCGTACGGATGAAGATCCGCTTTTAACTTTCAAGATTCCCTCATACCTGAGTACAAGCAGCGGATATTGGCCGGTGCTCTCCTTCCTCCGCCCTTACCGGGGAGTTGGTTTTTGGCCATCCACAGCTCCCTGATGACACATCATTTCGAAGAAACAAAACATCATGTTAAAGTGTCGGTCTTGGCAGGCACGACAGGGTGGGATGGCATCAGGGAGATATTTGTAACGCGCAGTGAAAGGCTGTGGAAGCATGGGAATCTTGGATTTGAATTCGACTTCGTACGGGAATCAGAAATGCATAGATTAGCGGGGGGATCCCGCGCTCCAGTATTCACATCTCCGTGAAGTCAAGCCTTTCGATTTAATTTCAAATGTTTCGCAACCACGGCACCCTGGACGGACGTGGAGTCCTCGGGGTCTAGGGCATGGTTAACTTTATTAAGGCCGATATTGCCAACATGCAAAGAACAAGTACGGACACCCGCATCGACGTGCCTTATTGGCTTGCCGTGCTTGCTAATAGTGGCTTGTTAAGATGTGGATGGGGACATTCTCGTTCGACTACCCATACTCCTCTCAACCACGGTTATCAAGGAACGGTATGTCCGCCATACCATTGTGCCTAGTATAATGTATTAGGTACCTTGGGATGTTTGAAGACCAGATGTCAAAGGGCAGATCTGAGGTGGGAAACGCCCGACGGCTGTATCTCATTCTCGGGTCGCTGTGCGCCAAAAACCTGCTGATGTAATGCACTTACCACGGTAGTACCGACTGATTGTGGTGGGTATGCGTCCACTTTACGCGTCTGAGCACGGTCAACGCGTCTACCTGCCTTACCCTTCCACCCAATCCCTAGGTACCTTTGCACTTCACGACACCTGCCGATGGATGTAACATAGAAATGTCGTTGCGCATACACAAAGCGACGACCAAACACCTTGTCAAAATGTCATGTGAGGATAAGTAGGAGATACGGGTACAGAAATAACTGGATCACGCATCAGACCTCAATTGATCAAGAGAACATGGCCACAATCAAGCCCATCGAGGGCCGCACAGTGAGCTTCCCGCAAACCCTCACTCACGTCCTGTACTGACACCATCGCAGATTCACCAGATCCAATCTGGTCAAGTCATTGTTGATCTGTGCTCCGTCGTCAAGGAGCTCGTAGAAAACAGCATCGACGCCGGTGCTACAAGCATAGGTACGTAAATTGGGCGAATGAGCTCTTCCATGTGATTTGTGGCGAGACTCTAACATTGATGTCTGCATCCAGATGTACGCTTCAAGAACCAGGGTTTGGACTCCATAGAGGTCCAGGATAATGGCGAGGGAATCTCATCAGACAACTACGAGTCGATTGCCTTGAAGCACTACACTTCAAAGCTTGCAAGCTACTCTGATCTGGCTACTCTCCAGACCTTCGGCTTCCGCGGCGAAGCCTTGTCATCTTTATGTGCCTTGTCTCAATTCAGCATTGTCACCTGCATGGCACAGGATGTTCCCAAAGGCACAAGGCTCGAGTTCGAGTCATCGGGAAAGCTCAAGGAAATCCATGTGGTCGCCGCCCAGAAGGGCACCAACGTCATCGTCGGGAACCTATTTCACAACCTTCCTGTACGCCGCCGCGAGCTCCAACGCAACGTCAAGAGAGAATGGAACAAGGTCATCGCATTGCTGAACCAGTATGCTTGTATCCAGACTGGCGTCAAGTTTTCCGTTTCCCAACAACCTACCAAGGGAAAACGTATAATCCTCTTCTCCACAAAGGGCAATCCCACCACGCGAGAGAATCTGGTCAACATCTTCGGCGCCAAGACGATGACGGTTCTGGTGAGACTCGATCTCTCCCTTCAGTTCGAGCCCACCGCTAGGCCGGGCCTGAAATCTACTAATCAAGACGAGCAAACTTCCACAAAGGTCCAAGTCCAGGGTTACGTGAGTCGTCCGGCCCACGGAGAGGGCCGTCAGACCCCTGATCGACAAATGTTCTTCGTCAATGGCAGACCGTGCGGCCTTCCTCAGTTCGCAAAGGTCTTCAATGAGGTGTATAGGGCTTACAACGCCTCTCAGTCGCCCTTCATACTGGCTGATATCCAACTTGATACGCACTTGTATGATGTCAACGTCAGCCCGGATAAACGGACAATCATGCTACATGATCAGAATCGCATGTTGGAGAATATGAAGGAGGCCTTGTCGTCGCTTTTCGAATCCCAAGACTACTCCATTCCGTCCGCACAGCAGCCAATACAAATAACACAGGCAGCCAGGGCGACCCCCGTTCTCGAGAACGACGGTGACGATGATGATGCACCTTCGAACCAAGCACCAGCACCCCCGGCGAAGCAGACGAGTCCAAATGACGAAGACGACATTAGCTCTGAGGATGATGACGAACAATTCCATTCACGCACCAAGCCACCACGCAAACCTCGTCAGAGGAAACCACAACAGCTCACAACAGCAGAGCTACAGTCCCAGAGTTTAATGAGCCGGTGGGTTGGACGAGCAGCCGACAGTCGTGCTTTGCAACGGGGAAGGGAGATAGGATCCGAAGAGCCTGTCGCCGAAGATAGTGGCGAGAAGGCTCCGGCTACTGATTCTGATCCTGGTGCGTCCAACTCAGAGGATGGCGTGGCAGCGGAGGCTGCCGAAACCACTTCTTTCAAGACGCCGCGACAGGTTCTCGACTTCAATGCCCGGCTTTCAGACGCCCACCAAGACCACGAAGCTGATGCTCCACAGGAGAATGTCTCGCAGTCTTCTGACGATGGCACCGAAAGTAGACAAGCCCGAATTCCTGCTATGACACCTATTAGAACACCAAGAGTTGACCCTCTTATGTCTTCATCTATTCCACGGCTACCTAAGCGGTCAGCCCTAGAAGTTGCAACCGTATCTATTGGAGAAAGTACCGTCACCAGCTCCGTAGAGCCGACCCCGAAGAGAACAAGACACGAGCCGACCTCATCGCTGAGTTCAACGGCTGCTCATTCACCATTGAGCACAACTGCGGCGAAGTCCTCCTTTGGCTCGAGGCTGACCCAGATGTTCTCTGCGAGCAATGCAGCGAGACAGAAAGGGTTTGCCAGGACGAGCACAGATCTGTCAGAAAACCCCAGCGAAGGTGCCGGCGCAGAGTCAGATGATGGTAGGGAAAGCGATGACAGCTCAGAGGAGAGGGCGCCTGCGGACGAGGCCATGGCCAGTCAGGACGATGGATTTGAATCTGCTTCCGATAGACCCGAAGCGTTATCAAGTCCAACACATCTACCCCATGCAAACGTGTCGAGCCGCAACAAGACCCCGGTGCCGGTCACAGCGAACGAGGAAAGTCTAAAGGACGAAGCAACGGCGCAGACTATGTTCGCAGATTCCCGGTCGAATGCTCTTAAAGGGGGGACCAGGCGAAAGGATGCAACTCTACAGCAGAGGCAAAATGTCAAGATTCACACAAACGATTTGCAGTCTCGCATCGAATCTTGGGAGGCAGAGCTACGGCGCACCACCCATCACCGAGGCCGGCAGTCCAAAACCTCCGGCATCGAGGATCTCAAGGCTGAGGATGCGGAAGCAGCCCTGTCCTTGATCATATCAAAGTCGGATTTCGCAAAGATGACCATTGTCGGCCAGTTCAATCTCGGCTTCATCATCGCAGTTCGGCACGCGGCCAGAGACGGAGACGGGGACGCAGTTGGGGACGATGAGCTCTTCATCATCGACCAACATGCGTCGGACGAAAAGTACAACTTTGAGAGGCTGCAGTCCACAACGGTGGTCCAGTCTCAGAGATTGGTGCACCCGAAGCAGCTAGAACTCACAGCCCTGGAGGAAGAGATTGTCATGGAAAACGTCGCGGCCTTGGACGTCAACGGCTTCAAGGTCAGCGTAGACAGCTCGGGCGACCAGCCCGTGGGAGCGAGGTGTAAGCTCCTCGCGCTACCCCTCAGCCGCGAGACAACATTCACACTGTCCGACCTCGAGGAGCTCATATCTCTGCTAAGCGAACACCACCTTACCGAGGTCAGCAGCGCCCCTCGGCCGTCCAAAGTGCGGTCCATGTTCGCCATGAGGGCGTGTCGCAGCAGCGTCATGATTGGCAAGGCTCTGGCGCAACGACAGATGGAGAAGCTGGTCCGTCACATGGGTGAGTTGGATAAGCCGTGGAATTGCCCGCATGGACGGCCGACGATGAGGCATCTCACCGGGCTTGGTTCCTGGGATGATATGGGGTGGAAGGAAAACGAGCCTCGTGTCGACTGGGCCAAGTATGTCCAAGCATAACGTTGGATTTGATGTTGCGGTACGCAAGAATCGGTCTTGGTGACATACTGGCTTGCTCGCCTGTGGTATCATTCACGGTGTTCGTTATTTCTCAAGACATATCCGGGGCAGTTGAATAGTTTACATGCCAAAAGTGACTTTTGTTATTGTATTGGTATCACAGTGTAGTTGCCTTCTCTCGTTACTTTACTTTACATACAACAAAGCTGTCCATATCGCCCTCCTAGTCTCTTGCCACCGGACGTCGTGAAAATCAACCCGTGTTCTCGTATCAAACTCCCAAAACAAAACGCATCCTTCGCTTCTTAAGGAAACCAACCTCCTCATCACCGCGCCACGCCATACTGCTGAGCGCCCTTCGACCCTGCGAGACCCTCTTCAGCGACCTTACCACTCACGTTACGCCTTCCATAAGCCGACGAGTACTTGTTGTCTTTAAAGTCATTGCCGGATGACACTTGACGGTTACCGCCGATCATGACTGGAGGAGTCGCCGACTTCAGCTCACCGTACGGCTTAGAGTAGAAATCAGCCTCGGGTTGGATAGAGCTGTCGCGGTTGCGCGGCCAGGGTTGAGGGACGAGCGATGAAGGTCTCTGATCGGCAATGTCGTTGGTACCACTGACCCTACGAGAGTTGAGGTCTACTTCCGACAGTGCCGTATCCTTGAGCGAGTAGTACGGAGTCTTGGTCTTGGGGGGCGTCGGGTGGGACTTCAATGGGTTCGGGTGAGGGCTCTTGCCGATATCATTCTCAAAGTCACTGCCAGCAAGGTCGTTCTCGTCATGCTCTGAATCGGAATCTGCGACGTTGTATCTTTGAGACAGAGCTTCGTAAGTGCTGTTCCTCGTTCCCTGTCGCTGCGTGTTCGCAGCTGTCGTGGCTTGGTCCATTGCGCGGTTTCGCTTCTGAGTGCGGGAGATCATGGAGTCTGTCGCAAACCATGTCTCGGTGAATTTGCCTCCAGGGGCCGGGACTGCGGAGGAAAGAGAAGTTCGGGATCCTGCGATGTTGGTCTCGTGGAGCGGTACCTCGGTGTAAGACCCACGGTATGAGGACCGAGGCCCAGACGCGCGAGCGTATTCGCTGACGCCTGCTGTCTGGTTTTGTAGATTTCCTGGAGGAACTTGGTACTGGCGACTGGGAAGATCAACAACGGAATTGTGGTTGAAACTGGAAACGTCTGAGCCGGCGCGGGTTCGTTGAAAAGGGATGCTAGGTGGTCGAGATACATCCTCATACGGAGCACCTGATCGACGACGATCCTCAAGAGGTGTGGATAGCCTCTTTTCGCTGTCGCCGCTCATGGAGGTCGCAATACTGGACTTGTTTCTCTTGTGTTTGGCCCGGGAGGTGAGGTTGTCCTCTAAGGGGTTCATGTCGGGGGGCAGTTCGGTAATCCTGCGGAACATGACACCAAGCCATATTGAGATGCCGAGAGAGATCAAGTGCAAGCCCCCTGCACCGATAAAGGTATAAAAGACGGCTGGAAGAAAATAGTCAAGTAGGCTTTGGTCGGAAAGGCGCGTCTTCCAGGTGCCACCGCTGTTGTTGACAGTAAGAGCACCGTAGGCGTACAGAGGCATAACACCAAGATCAGAGATGCTGGCGAAAAGTTGGTAGGCAGTAGACGAGGCAGGACTGCGGCCTCCGGCAGGCCGCTGGAGATGGTATATGCCGTAGAGGCAGTGTACCATGGCCACACCCGGCTGGAAGAAGTTCAGTCAGTTTCGGATACCCCAAATTCTGGAGCAGGCAGCCTGGGCGGTGGACGAACCGTAATACGCATGACCCAGCCAGCCAAAGTCTCGATATTGTCTAGCAGAATAAGCAGGGCAAGTAGTCCAGCAGCCCCGACCAATTCTAGGGCCCTCAAGCATAACTGGGCGATGCGCATCGCCTTGATCCAGCTCTTCGTTCTAGGGCCGAGAGCAACATAGTTGTTGGATCGATGGTTGAGGACCAGATGAGCACTACGACAGAAAAGGCAATCAGTTCAACTTTCCCGTTCCTCAATGAAAAAGACAGTCTTCGCCGTAGATTCTAGATAGACCAAGCGTACTTACTCGGGATGACGGTTAAAGGTAACCAAAGGCCCATCAGGCTTCGGCTTGCGCGGCTGCGGCTCCCAGCTTGCGCGGGTCACTGCCTTTGGGTCGAACTTTGGCTCTGGAAAACGTGAATTATTGCTGACGACATTGTAGAGGTATGGTTGGTGAGCCATGGTCGCGACACGGCGTTGGTCTCGTCCTTGCGTGTCCTCTGAGAAAAGAAGGAGAGGAATGCGCGGGACAAGACTTTAACAGAGATCAGGCGGCTGGAATGCCGCCAACTTATGAGGAATCCGGTGGTTGGAGTGAGATGTCTAAGGTCTGGCTTTCCTCAGACTTACCACAGACATGTGAATGAATGAAAGAGGTGGAGGGCGAGGAAGGATGATTAAGAACAAGACAGGGACCAGAATCAGAAAGGCCAAACCCAAGGTGAGATGCGCAAAGGTACAGGCAAATCCTGTGTTTGCCCAGGCCTTACGAAGGTTGAAGCCGCATCGCTCAAAGGCCCAGTTGTTTTCAAGCCTTCCCGGATCGGTTGGTTTACATTGGGTACATCTTGAGTCTAGTGTTGCAGCGGGCGCGTGGAGGTTGCTATGGCAACTCCTCGTTCCTGCAGTACTAATGTAGCATGTCCTGGAAACTTTGCATGTACCTCAACAAGCTCGATTAACCTTGTCATCTCATGCCCAGTCATGTTCGAGTGAAGCCTGCCGCGCCTGAAAGTTGTCACTTGAAGTTGCCTATCTTATCTAATTGCACCTTTTCCTGGCTCGACGATCATTGATCTCTCACCTCCAGATGTCTGAATCATGGATCATGGGTACCTTGCATAATACACAAGGTACCTAGATATCCACTTGGTCCCGAACCCCAAACTTTTGAGAGGGTCGAGATGACGTACAAAGCTTGGGCCAGGCCTCGATCACAAGCAACAGGGCACTTTTACAGGTAGGTAGGTAGCTGTAATTCAAGAGAAGCTGCAACAAGGTATTACAGCTTCGTTGGTCACGGTATCGATAGTTCAATCGCAGGCCTGCTTTTCTTCACCAGCGGCTGACGCTTTCACGTACTCTTCTATCGAATCCAGGCATAGCCCAGGGTAAGCAACCAAGGTCGTGAGTGGCTTTGTAGACCGTAGGCCGAGGACGCCGAGTCCATGCTGCAGCATCGGTACCGCAACTAGGCCCGGCTCCGGGTTGTGGAATCTCGATTTAAATCCGAAATCTTTCACCCCGACGCCCTCTTTGACTTGACTCACTAGGTGCCCTATACTCGGGCTGCATTAATCAGCTTTGGCGATAGCTGTTCATTTTCGCTGACCAGATCATCTCAAATTTATCATTGTATAAACACGCAGCTGCCAGTGTCATTTAGGGCAAGTCAAGTTTCTCATCCATCAGACCAGACCAAAGTCTCCTCCAAGCTACCCTCCACCGGTCCTATGATCCTATCCCGATGCCGGGCCCGGCTGCGCCCAGCCTGCAGCCGTCTCGGAATGGAAGTGGTCACCGGCGCTTCCGGATCGCGCCCGTCGAGTACCGCCGCGAGACAAGTCCGCCAACAAAATGCCCCGTTCCGACTGGCCGTCGTCGGCTCCGGTCCAGCAGGCTTCTACTCCGCCTACCGGGTAATGTCCCAGCTTCCAGAGACCACAGTGGACATGTATGAGTCGCTTCCGGTACCATTTGGCCTCGTCCGCTTCGGCGTTGCTCCGGATCATCCCGAAGTCAAGGTTCGTTACCCCCGTCTAGTTATCTGCTTCACCGGCGTACGCTGCTCACACAGCCCCCAGAACTGTCAGGATAAATTCACAGAGGTTGCGGCATCGCCTAAATTTAACTTCCTGGGCAACGTGTCCATAGGCGACGTAGGCCATCATCCAGACAGCTGCAATGTGCCCTTTCCCACCTTGTTGCGGAATTATGATGCAGTGTTACTCGCCTACGGGGCCGCCAAGGATAGAACCTTGGGCATTCCTGGAGAATCCGATCTCCAAGGCGTCTACTCAGCTCGCCAGTTTGTAGGCTGGTATAATGGGCTCCCCGAGTATGCCGGTTTGTCACCCGATCTTACAAAAGGAGACGAGGCTGTCGTAATTGGTCAGGGCAACGTGGCCCTGGATGTTGCTAGAATGCTGCTGGAGGATATCGATGCCTTGCGGCGGACAGACATCACAGAAGAGGCCCTTGCTCAGCTTGCAACCTCTCGCGTCAAGAGAGTTCATGTCGTTGGAAGACGAGGTCCAATGCAGGTGAGCAAACCGCTCAACTTTCCTGGTCCAAATAGAGCAGACGAGTTGATCCTTCCACCTAGGCCGCGTTCACAATCAAGGAAGTCAGGGAGTTGATGAAGATTAGAAGTATTGGCTTTCATCCGGTGGATAGCACGCTCATCCCCCCCGACATCAAGTCGCTTCCGAGAGCAGCAAAGCGGTTGATGGAAGTGGTCGTCAAGGGCTCCGTGTCTCGTCCAGACGATGTCGAGAAGTCATGGTCGCTCGACTTCTGCTTGAATCCCGTCGAGTTTCTGGCCAACCAAAATTCTCCTGCCGATATTGGGAGTACCGTGTTCGAGAGGACAGAACTGTCTCACAAATTTGATCCCGGTGCTCAGGCCCGGCTTACCGGAGAAACTGTCACGGTGCCTTCGAACTTGGTCTTCCGTTCCATTGGCTACAAGTCCGTTCCCTTATCCGGCTTCAAAGAGGCCGGTGTAGCCTTCGATGACCGCCGAGGTGTCGTGATGAACGATGGACGCGGCAGAGTTGTTGCGGTAGATCAGGAAGAAGCGTCTGAGGCGACGCAGTCAGGGGTGATCCCCGGTGTCTATTGTGCCGGTTGGGTTAAACGAGGACCGACTGGCGTCATTGCGTCGACCATGCAGGACGCCTTTGAGACGGGCGATTCCATCATTCAAGATTGGCTGTCTGGTCTGCAATTCCTGTCTGCAGGTAAGGAGAAGCCCGCGGCAGGGTGGGATGGTGTCCGCGCAGAAACCGGTGACTCAGCTCATAAGAGAACAAGCTGGGAAGACTGGCAACGGATCGATGGCGTAGAAAAGGCAAAGGGTCAGGCCGCGGGCAAAGAGCGGGAGAAGTTCACATCCACCAAGGCCATGCTCGGGATCCTGTCATAGAATACGGCATTGTAGTCAAGTGTAGAAATACCCCTCTTTGTAGACTATAGAAACATTGCTATTTACTGCTTGATCTTCTCAGTCAGTTCTGGCACCTTGTCGAACAAATCCCCCACGAGCCCAACGTCCGCGATTTGGAAAATAGGGGCATCGGCATCCTTATTTATGGCGGCAATGACCTTGCTGTCCTTCATACCAGCCAAGTGCTGGATGGCACCCGAAATGCCAACAGCCAGGTACAACTGAGGCGCAACGACCTTACCAGTCTGTCCAACTTGCAAGCTGTTATCAGCGTACCCGCTATCAACAGCGGCTCTGGAGGCGCCAACGGCAGCACCCAGAGAATCGGCCAGGGGCAGCATAACCTTGTCGAACTCCTCCTTAGACTTGAGGCCTCTGCCGCCAGAAACAACCCTCCCAGCGGTAGCCAGGTCTGGCCTGTCTGATTTGGCAAGATCTTCTGACACCCACTCAGTAGCAGAGTCAGACTTGGGATCAACACCATCCTCCACCGCAGCTGAGCCGCTGGCAACTTCGGCCGCGGGGAAGGCCGTGCCTCGGATGGTTATAACCTTGATCTCGTCGGATGATTCTACTGTCGCGATGGCATTGCCGGCGTAGATTGGGCGGACGAAGGTGTTCTCACCCTCTATCGAAGTAATATCGGAGATTTGCTGCGAGTCCAGCATGGCGGCAACGCGGGGCATCAAGTTCTTTCCAAAGGCAGTGTGTCCAGCGATGATGTGGGTGTAGCCACCCTTCTTGATGTTCTCGACCAACAGTGGTGCGAAGTTCTCGGGGAGACCCTGCAAGTATGGGAATGTCAGCTCCGGGACCTCTCAGTTTGTCGATATTCTCTAACAATGGCCTACCTTGTCGTACGCGGCATTGTTGACTGCAATGACCTTCTCGACACCTTCAACCTTTGCCGCCTCATCGGCAACACCCTTGATGTTGCTTCCCGCTACAAAGCCGTGGATCGATCCACCCAGCTTCTTTGCTGCTGTGATGGCGCTCAGTGAGCCATGGTTCAATTGACCTTCTCTCTGCTCCAGAATGGCGAGGGTCGACAGCAGACTTCTTCTCGACGCAGATCGGAACCCCGAGAGTCCCCTGGACGCTGCGACAGCCCCGCTGCCAGCGGCTCTTCGAGCAAGAAACAGCATTTTGGGGGTTACGACGAATGCGAGAAGTATTGGATTTACTAGGCTCGTCTAAAGGAACAATTGGCGAGGCTCACCGTGAGCGAGGGCTTTGGTGTTGATGTGTAGAATCTCGAGTTGTAGAGGAACGGTTGGACACGGCCCGAGGTTACTAGGCCGAGTTCGCATGAAGCCTTTCTCAGCTGCCAAAGTGCCGTCATCAGAGGTAGAGACGCTCTGGCTTGAGCGGGGGGTGAGATTAGCCGCAGCAACCCAGTCGGCTTTATGCTCCGAGCTCTCGGCCTCAGCCTCTCAGGACTCAGGACACTGAACCAGGGACGTGCACCAAGACCTTAGGTACCTTAGTCAGAAAGATTGATACCAGTGGCTACCTGCACGTGACACCACCCAGACCACGTGATTAGATGGACCTGGCGTCGCGCTTCAGCTTCCGGCGAGGGAATGCGCAGGGGAAAGGTACACTTGGAGAGGCCCAAGGACAGAGCAGTTCCCCCGGTATCTTCGCGCCAAAATTTCTCCAGATCCAGACGCGACTCCATAACGACCACACCTCATCATCTCCCATCAAGAACCACGCGCTTTTGGAGGGGCACACCCACAGGCTGCATCATCAATCAATCGATTCCACCAGTCGCATGTCATAGGGCATTCTATCCGTGCAATTTGTATTCCAGTTTGCGCGTCGCGCCCTTGAGCTTCTGCGCGCCTTAACAAGAGTTTGGATGCCTGCCTCCTCCTAAGATCCATCCAGTCACAAGTCATCATGGAGGACCAAACCAACTACGGAATTTCCAACGCCGCCTCTCCTGGCAGCAATCCCATTCTTTCGCAACCACCTTTGCAACCTGCTGCGCCTACCCCGGGAGATGGAGCTGAAGGTGCGTGCCATCGTCGACCCCATTAGCACTGCTTTCACTGGTACAATTGATGGCATCTAACAAGACTATGTTTCTAGATGTCCAGATGACCGAAGGCCCGGTCGCTGAGCCTAGCATCAAGCAGGACAGCGCGACACCAGCACCAGGCGTCACATCCGACAATCCCCTCGACGCCCCCGAAGGCCCCGCGCCCGAGGCTACGCAGGATGAGGAAATGGGCGGTGCTCGCGACGAAACAAAGGATGGCCAAGCAGCAAAGGGCGGCGATGATGCTGCAGCTGGAAACGATGCTGAGGGGCAAGACTCCAAGACCAAGGAGACACTCGAATCCGCGGCCCGAGAACACCTTATCTCGCAAACGCACGCTATCGTTTTGCCGAGCTACAGCACCTGGTTCGACATGAACACAATCAACGACATCGAGCGCAAGGCCATGTCCGAGTTCTTCAACAGTCGCAACCGCAGTAAAACACCAGCTGTCTACAAGGACTACCGTGATTTCATGATCAACACCTACAGGTTGAATCCCGTGGAATACCTTACTGTCACGGCCTGCAGACGAAACTTGGCTGGAGACGTTTGCGCCATCATGCGCGTCCACTCATTCCTCGAGCAGTGGGGCTTGATTAACTACCAGGTAGGATCAAAACCGATGCGCTGTGTTGTATGGTGAACTGACTGAAGCGATGCAGGTTGATGCAGAGCAACGGCCCTCGCATGTCGGCCCCCCCTTCACTGGTCACTTCAAGATCATTTGCGACACCCCACGTGGTCTTCAGCCGTGGCAGCCCTCTGCCGACGCCGTCGTCTCTGCTGGCAAGCCCAGTGCCGATACAGAAAAGAAGGCTGCGGCAACACCGGTTGCTAAGAGCGAGCTAAACTTGGAAGTCAGCCGCAACATCTACGAAGCAAGCGCCAAGGGTACAAAACTCAACAAGAGCGAACCGAAGACCAATGGCGAAACGCCAGTGACGAATGGTGTTTCGGGTATCGAAGATGCTACCAAGACACCTATTGTCAAGGTCAACTGTCACACTTGCGGCATCGACTGCACCAGGCTATACTACCACAGCTCTCAAGCCGATCCGAATTCCAAGACCAAGTACGATGTTTGCCCAAGCTGCTTCCTCGAGGGTCACCTCCCAGGCAACCAGACAAGCGCTCAATTCACCCGCATGGAAAACCCCACATACACGACCGTCCTCGACAGAGACGCACCGTGGAGTGATGCCGAGATCCTTCGGTTGCTTGAGGGCATTGAGAGGATGGACGACGACTGGAATGAGATTGCGGATCACGTGGGTACGCGAACACGCGAGGAGTGCGTCTTGCAATTCTTGTCTTTGGACATTGAGGGCAAGTATGCGGACTCGGACCTCGCCGTGAATGCGCCCACCGGCCTTGCAATGCTCGGACAGCAGGGTGGCCATTTGCCTTTCAGCCAGGCGGATAACCCGGTCATGTCCGTTGTCGGCTTCCTTGCCGGCCTGGCAGACCCTGCCAGTACGGCGGCGGCGGCGAACAAGTCTGCCGAAGAGCTCACGCGTAAGCTTCGCAGGCGACTCGAGGGTGGCAACGCGGAGGAGCAAGCTGTGACCAATGGTAAGGGCAAGGACAAGGACGGCGACTCAATGGAAATTGACATCCGCCAAGACGTCACTACGACAACTACTACGACGACGACGACGTTGGCCACCATTCCCATGGCTACCATGGGCGCCCGGGCCGCTGGCCTGGTGTCCCATGAGGAACGTGAGATGACAAGACTGGTGTCCGCTGCGGCCAACCTCACTCTGCAGAAGTTGGAGTTGAAGTTGAAGTACTTCAACGAGATGGAGGCCATCTTGCAAGCAGAGAGAAGAGAGCTCGAGAGAGGACGACAACAGCTGTTCCTGGATCGCCTCGCGTTCAAGCGTCGCGTCCGCGAGGTGCAGGATGGACTCAAGGCAGCAGTCGAGACAGGCGGTGATCAAGGTCTTAAGCAAGCCCGGGATGCGATGTCTGACGGAGCCAACCTCACCTTCCAAGCGGCGCCTGGAGCAGGCGCTGTGCAGCCTCTGAGCAGTGGAGGGCAGATTAAGAGCTTCGAAGCTTGATGCGGCTCATGGCACGCTGTTTCTTCTTCGAAGGAGACATCTGTGAGATCCGTTGGGACGAATATAGCTCTGCGTGTGGGCAGAGAACGGGGTCCCTGTATTTTGCAAGGGGTTTGGTTTGGTGATGACCAGGGAACGGCACAAACAATTGTGGTGAATTGAAATAGTCTGGATGATTTTGGGCGTCGGAGGGATTCCTATGGCTGGGCGACGTATTGTCGTTTATGCAACTGTATTAGATACTTACACTACCCGTTTTCTGCCTGCTTTCCGCCTTGCCAACACCGTGTGATGTGTAGACCTCAGGGGAATTTCGAGGGCGGCAGTGTGATTGCTCGAGCTACATGGTTATCAAGTGAGTTGCGAGCACCATCGTGGGCAAAGGGCGTTGGCACATGCAAATGTATTGCCCTGTACCTACTATTGATCTCGTGGTGAAGCAGTGCTGGTAGTTTGATGGATATGCCATGTTAGCTTGCTCTCACATGTTTGGAAAGAACAATGGTGCATAAGGAAGTCAGATCCAGCTGCATGGGTAAGCTCAAGTAAGGTGATCTAGTTTGTGGCCGTTGAGCAAGCCACTTCACTAACGCGCGTACGGCGCGGGAGTGGTGCTTGAGACGCTGAGGTCAACCGCAGTCTGTGAGATAAAGTGCCTTGTGACCGTGGCCTGGCCGTGACCTAGCCTGGTGTGGCAGGTGTCCGGGCTGTGGGGCCGTGCTTCATGAACCGGCCGGTGAAGTACAAAGGTATGGAAGGTAACAGCAAAGAGAAAGCGCCGCTCCGTCAGGTATTTGGGGAGCGCCCTTTCTCAAGAGCAATCTAGGTGCCTGACTGTCCTGGCTCATGTAGCTGTTGAGATGCCAAGATGTCCGGGCAAACGGAAGGGGACCTTGACCAGCTCGATCCTCCGATGGTCCAGCCCGGCCTTGTCTGGGGCTCCCCTCTTGTCCGGTGTGCGTGGTAGCTGCTCAAGGTATGATAGGCATCATCGTTGTGCTCTCAGTCAGTGGTATAGATTCGGATTGGATGTGTGTTCCGCCCTGATGAACAGTGCCATTGATTTCATGATGAACCTCCCATCGGAGACAATGGATGGCAATGTACATATTGAGCAGGAGCCCCGGTTGTCATTTGTATAGGTTTGACCGAATATCCTTGGTAGATCCAGCCGAGAGGCTAGGCTCAGCAAGACCAGAGAGCAGACGATTATCCGGCCTCCGAGACCATTTGTGAAGAGAACAGAGTGAGGGGATTTCCACACATACCTGGTAATTAGGGATGGAGATGGACTGGAGTGTTCGTACGGATACGGGGGGGTCCAGGATGTGCGCATACTCTGTGCAAGTTACTCCGTACAACTCATTAGGTACCGTATCGTGCGTATCCACCGATGCGGTCGGCACCGTCATAAAAGAAGAAAAGTACGGGGTAAAAGCTGCGTGCATGGGGGCTGGCGGGCTCTTGGAGCTAACGTTTGCTCACCCCTGTTTTACCTCGGCTCAAAGTCCCAATCCACCGCTTCTACAGCCAGTGACCAAGGCACTGAAGACACCTTGCCGGCTGCACCGCGATGCGCCGAGGGACAATGAGCCAGTGAGGGAATTTAGAGAAGGAGGGCGTGATGGTGTCAGTACGGGATCCAAGGTGGTATGCGCGCACGCATCGAGGGCCGAGACTCAATTGCAGTTTTGCAGACTCGCAGTATGGGTTCTGCAGTGCTGCAGCCGCCGGTTTGCGGTCTGTAGCGCACTTCGCGCCGCGCGTGCCCTTTTCCCCAACTCAAGGTCCATCTCCGCCGCTCCGCCGGACGTTCGGGCATCGTGCTACAAAACCTCTAGAGTGAGAACTGAGCAAAACGGGACCCAAGGGAGGAAGAGGTCAGAGACCTGATGTCTGAGAGGGTCAAGAATGAATTGTGCCCAATATCTTACTCCGGACCATGGTCCCGTCCGGCTTGTCATAATACCATAGGATCATACCTACCTGCCCAGAGGACGCCAGATGCCACAACTCTTTTTGTCTCCCT